CCTGGCGAGCAGACATGCAGGCATATGATGACGCACAGAGTGATAACGTGTCCCACACCTTTGAGACTATTGTTGGTATTTTAGAGTTCAGAAGATTTCACTCCCGATGTGTCAGTCATTACTTATTTTATAACTTTCATTGAAGCAACATTTTAAGTTATCTTTTGACAGTATTTTTAAGTGCATTTTCATTTAATTTCCATTGAGACAATATCAAAAGAGTTTTCCTTTTTGTAGATGTTTTCCTTTGGCTCATGTATTTACCTCACTATTAAGCGACTTGTGAATAGGACTGTTAGTCTCCAAGTTTTTTCGATGATTTTTTAACATACGGAAACGCTGAAGAGATTGGGATATAATAAATTATAATCCCTCTCGGAGATAAATTTGCCTTGTGACACCATCACTACTACTTTCTTTTGAAATTCCCCCTCGCCNCCCCCCCCCCCCCCCCCCCCCCCCCCCCCCCACACTCCACACCCCCAAGGCACAAATAAGCCTTGACTTATATTATTGAAATCTGCTTGAATAAAAGTGCTTTCATTCTTTTTCTTTTATTGTGTCATCGTCACTGTTCTCTTCCTTTGTCATTTTTGTGGAAGTTATGAAATCCAATTGCTCAACACCTTTACTCCATTCCAGGCTTTCGACTTCCAACTTCTCCTATATGAAGACCCCTTACGTTGAGGGATATTGTGCAAAGACTAAGCAGAGTCGATTTCTCTTCTTTTTCACACTTCAATTTACTAAATTGGAAATAAAAAAGTGAAATCCCTAATCGGGTATGTGTTTCAGATGAGATAAGTGATGCTCAATTTTTGAAAATTATTAATAGTTGATATCAGGCGTTTAATTCCTAATCAGTTTGAATAAAATTGGCATGTAAGTCTCTAGACATGCTATAGACCGAGATTCAAAAGAGGGCAGGCACAAAGGTATCGAAAAAGGTTAGGTTAGTGCTATGGAGGTGGTGGAATATGACATAGAGTGGGGTCATGAAAGTTTTAAGTCGGTAGTCAATTGCCTGTTTGTAGGCCTTTTTTGCCGTATGAGTATACGTTGCCCAGGATGAACCACGTGGAGGTAAGTCTATCGCACCCCCCCCCCGGCTTTGGGACATTATTGCATGGAAATCGAACCAATCGTGGGGAATAAGTAGCTGTGGCCACCTTGACTCTATCCACAAATTCTGTCTTCTCTCCCTCCCCCTCCCCCTCCCCCCCCCCCCCCCCCCCCCCCCCCCCCCTCCATTAAACCTTCTCACCCTCTAATTTTTAATTTCGTATTCAAAATAACTAAACTCCATTCCCTTCTATATGAAGACTGCTCAATTTCAGATTGGCGCTTATGAATTATCTTTAATGCGACTCGGCGCACATGAGTGGGCATCTTCCTAATCGCGTAGGTTTCTGCTAATTTTAATTCTACTTTATTTTGCACCTATCATATATTACAACCGGTCACTGTTTAAATCCCCTCAAACGCAGGTAAATCAACCGAATGATGATAGAAGACAACTCAATCATCACTTTTTAGAAGCTGTCATTGTGAACGACATTGCAAAAGTGGTGACTTATTTGAATATTGGTGTAAGTTATTTATTTTGCACTTTATGACATGCCCTAAAATTATTCAACTAATTATGCTAAGCGTTGGTAAGAGAGATTCGATTTGCTGGCATACAGGGAAGGTTAGAGGTAATTTTGACAGTCCCAAGAAGAAAAAAGACACAACACAATTTGATGTCAGGGTGCTCCAGATCACGTTAGTTCGTCTCTGATGCTGATTTATTCCCAGCCACAGCAGACTCATAGTTCCGGTTGTAATTCTTCAAATTATACCATATTGTGGTCGCACTGGTCAGAGAATATTGAGCACCATTGAACACAATTTTCTTATTCTGCTTCTCACATGTTTCAGGTGGGTTTCAAGCACCAATTCCCGTTGTCCTCAAAATCTTGAGTACTGGAGTATCAAATTTTAAAGGAAGCGAAATGTGTGTGTGTGTGGGCACCTTTAGGGCATCTAGACAAAAGTGACCATTGAATAGTTACTGCAAAGGAGCAGAAAAAAGAGTTGGATAAAACAGTTTAAGTGAGGCCTCAAATTAAAAGTTGGGTGAAGCGATAAAATGGGAGAGCGCGAATCTGATAGAATAACCAAATCGTAGGAAGTAACCAGCGCAGGAGTAGAGAGGAACGATCAGAGAAGAAGCGTGTTGGAAACGTTGAAGAGGATCGACCGGGGGAGGGGGGGGGGGGGGGGGGAGGACCACACCTGAGCATTCAAAGAAAGTTAGATGACAATATGAGAATTCAACTAAAATGCGACTCATGGATTGTAAGTGGTTAAGTAGGAGTGTCGGCTCATCATTGGAAGGATGGGCCGCTGTAGGTTTGGAGAATTGATATGTGACTTCGAATCACTAAGTTGTCCAAAATCTCCAGACAGACATTGAAACCCATTTGTCTATTTAATAACTCCTGAATGCTCATTCGAGTAGTACGTATCCAACTGGGCGTTTTAATGAAATATTTAATTGAAACACACGAGGATTAGAAAGTGTTAGAATAGCTGAATCGTCAATTTTTGCTAAAGTGGATCCAACTAATCATGTTTGACCCACAGGTGTGAAGCGTATATAATTTCAGCCATTTAATCGGCTAATTTTCGCCTTAACACTGTCAGTTTTTATTATCATTATTATTATTTCGGCATTTTAAAGGCTCATGTGAATGCCAAGGTAGTTAAAGGAAACAGAACTGCCCTAATGATCGCCGCTGCAAAAGGTTATGCAGATGTGCTTCGAGTTCTTCTCTCGCACGGAGCCTCAGTTCACGCGGCCGACGAAAATGGCAACTTTGCAATTCACTTTGCCACCATTCACGGCCAGTTGGAGTGTGTTAAACTCCTAATGGACAGAGGGAGTCTCGCAAACGTGGGAAATTCGAATTTTATAAATCCCCTTATGTTGGCGGCTAGGTATGGTCGTTCTCACATTATCAAATACCTTCTGAGGAGAGGAGTTAATTTATCCTGCCAACTGAACAAGTTCATGGAATCAGAACTTACATTTGCAGTTCGAAAGGTACGTTTTTTGGCAGCTCAACATTTTGAATGATCTTATTTCTTTTGCTCCATTGTTTCTATGATATCAGATACTAAGAGAGAGAGAGAGAGTGGGGGAAGGTGATTTAAACTTCGGATGTTATTATTATTCCAAATAGTAGGCTTTATAATATTTATCATTAGCCCCTTAGTTGACTTCAGCTTTCCCCATGAGTTGGGGGGGGGGGTACATATATAGCAGTTAACTAATATCAGTTCATTAGCTGTCTTCTGGCTTCCCAAACTTCGGATGTAAAGTCGAGTTTATTATTTTTTTCATCCATGGGTCTATTTGACTAACTCTTGAAACCTGCGTCATCGAAATTTTGAAACTCTGGGTGTGTAGGACAGTAGCCAACCATGAAACCAGAAAGCCGATTTTTCCATGAAGACAGACGGTTTATAGAGAGGGTCTAAATTGCGTCATTTCGCATAAATAAGCCTGTCTTTACGTCAATGGATTGGTCGTAAAAAACAAGTTCTTCCTGCATAGCTAAAAAATGTTTATGCGTTAACATTTGGTGGCTTCAAATTCTTTGTAATCTTACAGGCCATCACAAACAAATTGTGTACTTTGTATTAATTTTAAAAATATTTATATCCTTTTTTAACTCCCTTTACGTAATTAATTTAAATCTAACCTTATTTATGGAGCAACTAGTAACGATTCTTAAAGGTCAAGCTTTTGTTAATCTTTAACACGATTATCGAGGAACGGGAAGGCACGGTAATAGCGGGGAAGGGTTTGTTGAAGGAGGGCCGTGGGCCAGAAGATGAGAAGAGACTTTTCACTATGTGCATGGGAGAAAATACACAGGAATATGGGTTTGTTTACGTGGAGAAGTATTTTACCTCATTTAGAAGGGGTGAGGTAAGGTGGTTGAATGTTTCCGGGCAATTCAATTCGGGACAAAGCTTGAAATCACAACAAGGCCTAAGCATCCAATTTACCATGGTGGAGATAGTCATTTTGTGGTACTGATGAAAATAGGAGTTTTATATGCCAGCAAATGGAATAACCCTGGTAACTGCGGTCATACGGCCAAACCTATAATCGTTCTGTTTGCATTTTCCATTTTCTATGTCTGTACTCTACCCATTGTTTCATAAATAAATGATAATTTCCTTAACCTTCATCAGTAGTATAAACAAACTCTTCTACGATTTTCTTTCTGCAACTTAGGGTCGTTTACGGGTTGTTCTACTCTTCTTGAAGACTACAAATCCCAATGTAGACCGAAAGGCAGAGCTCAATCGTGCTCTGTCAATTGCCATTAAGCTAGGCAGACTCAAAACATCGAAGGTCTTAATAAAATTCGGTGCGGATATAAACAGCATAGATGAAGGCAGCAAGTCGTCTGTCAATTTGGCAATCCTGAGAAGCGGATTCAATCTCACCGACTATCGGATTTCAAATGAAGCCGGACTTACACCTTTAATGTTTGCTATTCAAATGGAACGCGTCGATATTGTCAGAACTTTAATTAAAGCAGGTAAGATTTCGACTTGGAGTAACTTATTAGCTCGCTCGGTGTGAAGTTAAGGCAGCTTTGGCATTTCCTTATTGTAGGAGCCGATATTCATGCCAGATACGGGAACACCGGTCAGACAGCATTGGAAATGGCCAGAAAGGCTAAAAATAAAGACATTCTGAAGGTCTTTGAGAAAGAACTACGGACTTGCATTGAGAAATCCTGTTCTTCAGCCAAATCATAATTTCACTTATTCGTGTAATATTAAATGGTCTGAGTTTGGTTTTTACTCTTTCAACGTGATTTCCACCAATCAAAACTATCTTTGCCTTCAATATATACGGAAAAGTATTTGATTTATTAAAAAAAGAATTTAAGTTCAAAGTACTTTATTAAGTCCTCTTAGTGTCATCACTTGTTCAACTACGGTTTAACTAAGAATTAATATTATGGTGAGAAAGGAGATGGCATATCACCCATCGATGGAATTATTTCCAAATTATTTAAGTAGATTTGGATCCATAAATAACAAGAAATTCTAAGTAGAAATTTATGTATTTATTTATATAAAATAACGGGCTTTATGACAGTTATCATTAGTCGTTCAGTTGGCTTCGGGCAAGGGAGTACAAAAGAGTGATTCTCATATGTAAAAGAGGCAGGCACAAAGGTAGAGAGTAGGGTAAGGTGGGCACTATGTANCATCAATTTAAACAATCCCAATAGTTTACTCTATTTTTGTCTTAAATTCAGAGCCAATTTACTATTAGGAGTGAAGCAAAGCTGTCATTCTTTTCCACCTTCACATTTTAATTAAATACAGCTAAATAAGACTTTTATAGAATTATCAGCAAACCGATGCATGCCTTGATTTTGAGCTGCGTTAAAGGTTATTGATAGTGTGCTCCTTCGGGGGTAAATATAATCGCCTTTTGAGAAGAAAGGATTGTGGTGTCAATTTCTGGACCCTGCTTTCCACTCACTTTGGTCACCCTTCCGTTCCCTGCTCTCTCTCTCTCTCTCTCTCCCTCCATCTGTCCATCGTAATTCGTTAACGATTACTAAGTAGTCGAGTTCCTTTCTTCTGATCAAACCTGAGCCCTCGTTTTGTCATGGAGTGTGGTCAGGCTATCTTTACTTAGTCACGGTGCAGCTGTCCAGTCCTCATAGAGAATGAAAGACTAGCACACTTGTCAGACCAGACTACCCATATTAAGGCAATCTGCATACAGGTTTTATTACTTATATCGAGTTCAATAAGATTGGGAATCAAACCTTAACGTTTCATGCTCAATTTGGTTGGGCATAACTGATTGAACAACGGGTCAATCGAAGAATGAAGGTATTTATTTATTTATTTATATCAAATGGCAGGCGTTTTGATAGTTATCATTATTCCCTTAGTTGACTTCAGGCTTTGCAGAAAGGAAGGAACATCGAAGGGAAAAAGTCGAGAGAGAGAGAGAGAGAGAGGAACAGAAGAGTGTTCCAAAGATGTAAAAGAGACCGACACAAAGGTAGAAAAAAGATGAGGTGAGTACTGTAGAAGTAGTCGAATATGACATACTGTGGGGTGATGGTAGTTTGAAATCAGAAGTCAACTCCCGGTTAATAGACTTTTTTGTCGTATGAGTATATGCTGCCCAGGGTGCACCATGTGGAGGCAAGTCTATCGCACACCCCCAAATGAATGAAGGTTGATTCCGTCCTATTTACAATATGAAAGTGATGGCATACTATCGATATTGAACATCCGGTAAACTACAAATTACTACGTTACCTTCCAACCAATGAAATTATAACTGCTTAATGTTGATCTTTCGCCAATTATCTTACATGATTTATGATGGAGTCAATTTCTTTGCGAGTTATTAAATGCTACTTTTAATATTCAATCACATCCACCTTGGGTAAATATCGATGCTTAAACTTTTAAAACTCATAAATTTGCATTTAAATTGCGTTTTAGGACAGAAGTCTCTATTTATAAATTCCTATAAGTTTGTGTTCTAACACTCCCATAGATCGTCATGAATTTATGAAAAAAAATGTGTCAAATGTTATGTCCCATTTGAGTACTATTTGAGGATAAAACAGAAGAAATTTGTATCGATGCGCTTTAATGAAAACTGGGAAAAAATTAGGAGATTTCTCGGATTTAATAATTTACTTCTTCTTTTTCAGCGATTTTCCGATTTTCAAATGAACTAATACGCTAACCCACGTATCTTACCGGAAAACTCGATTAGTTTCGTTCGCGGTCGGATTTCATCGTTTTTAATTAAAGTATGGGGAGTTATAAAACTAATAATGCTTTCCTTCTTACCTATTTACTAAATTCATAATAGTGAAGTTTGCTGTTTTGTAAGATAAGGATTAAAACTCTTTTCGGAGTTGCGTGAACGAAGAGTATCAACCAATCTGTGGGACACGTTATCGCGTTGTGCGTCATCGTATGCCCGCATGTCTGCTCACCAGGATTGGGAGGTGCGGCCCTACTACTCTGTGTGCAGCGACCGTACAGTGGCCAATCATCAACCTCTGTTTAACCTAATCCCCCATCCTGATCATGAGTAGCTCCATGCGTGCACACTTTATCCGCAATATACGTCCTGGATAAACGTGTTCCTTGCTACACGTCTGTTTCCTTTATAGCTGGGCTATAGTTTAGCTAGTTCTGGGAGTCTAGCTAGATGTAGGAGAATCTGCCATAGAGATTTCTGAGTCAGTCAGGCTTTACTAAGGTAGCAATCCGCTACAAA